TTCTGCGTGTGGCGCTGTGGTGTGGCGCCCCTGCCGTTGTGAGAGTCGGCAGCATTACTTACTGCAAGAGGAGTTTCCCCGCTCGGTGCCCGGGGAGCTCCTGCAAACCTCTTGCCTGTTCGTGTCCTGGAGCTCGGGTCCTGTCAAGTTTCCCATCTGCCTCCCTATCAAAAGCAGCTCAGTGGTGCGGAGCGTGAAGTAAATGCTTAGCAAGATGTTTGGCTGTTGAATGTTCCTTATTATTGCAAAAATGCTGTCATGTTTACTTAAAAAAAATACTTCTAGGGGAATTTTTACATGGCAGACAGCATACAGAAATGTTTGACTTCTAACAGCACGGGACAGTAATTTCATAATGGGGAGAGAGATGGTTTGATGCAGAGGGAAAAATACTGCTTTTTTTTTTCTTTCCTTTTTTTTTTTTCCTCGAGGAACAAAAAAAAAGGGGGGGAAAGCTTATTAAAAACCCCACATTTTTCCTTTAGTTTCAAAGTTACTGAAAGTAGGTTTTGAATTTCATTCAGCAGTTTGGAAAATCAGCTTATTCCATGGCAGTCACTAGTACCTTGATTCATGACACATGCATGTTTTGAGAAGGAAAGAATGAAAGTGGAGCCTGCAGACGGACGTCAGCTTCTTGTTGTATCCCAGGATGGCAGTTTTAACAAATATTATCTTTATATGGAAGAGTAAAATAACTGAAATCCTATCTGATCCTTGGATTGATTATACAGCCCTACAAATCACTCCAGCTTGCTTCTTTCCGTGCTGTGGTAGCACAGGTTAGCTTGCTCTGCTTAAGGGTCTCTCAGGATTTCAAATGGAGTGTAATCCCCTTTTTTTACAAGAGTTTACATCTCATCAGTGAAAGTTCACTCTAGGTTGAAGTTTAACATAAAAGACTCCAGATAGAGAGGAACCTGATGGAAAATATGACTTTGGGTTGATTTATTTTTTATTTTTTAGTTATACAAGCAGCCTTCTAAAAATCTCATATAAGTTTTAAAGTTTTAGACTCCCTTTTGCAGTTCTCTAACTAAAACCAGCTTCAGTGTAAAAAGTTGAAACCTTAAACCCTGCTAATCCAGAGCAGGGACCGGTGCCTGTGCATATTAATAAAAAGTAGAAAAGGGCAAAGGGTTTAAACTCTGCAGTGTTGTTGTCTGTTTCCATTAACTCTTTCTCCTCAGACCCAACCCTGGAAATGCTCTGTATGGAGAATTACTGCTGGCTGTAAAAAGAATTCAGTCCCTGGAAGATGCTGATAAGTCAGCAGACCCCGGTTGCTGTAATACTTCGAGATAGAAAAAATAATTAAGTGCTCAATAGGTTATGCTGCTGGGTTTTCTTGTTGTTGCTACTTGGGAGGAGAGGGGGCAGGGAGAAGCCTAGCGAGCATCGCCTTCAAAGCAATGGTGTAGCTAGTTTAGGGATATAATGGCCAAAATTCAGCTCCAGGTATCTATACGTATGGAGTCTGTTTCTAATCTAATTCATATGAAGGCGAATAGGTTGAGTTACGCTGATGTCAGCCTTGATGAAAGCAGCGTCCTGGTGAATTGCTCACTGGTGCTTTTGCTGTGTGAATGAGTAGACCAGGGCAAGGTACAAGTAAACGTTTAGCCCTGACCTCAAATCTCTGACCACTGAAGTGCAATCTTGGCACTGTTGTCAATGATACTTCCTTGTGTGTGGGTTGTACCTTAGTTTTGTTTCCTAGGGGTGTTTTCATTTCCTTTCTAATTACCTTTTTTGTGCCCGGTGTTTAATAATATGAAGTTCCTTATGCATTTATAGAACCACTGAGCAACTTTTGAAGCTAAGCACATTTATCAGTACTTCTTCAAGATGTACTGAAGTATGCCTTTACATGCAGAGTGGCTGACTGAACAAGGTTGTACCTGGAGCGTGGGAATGGGCCAGGATTACAGCTGGCAGTCGAGCTTGTTTATAGAAAAGTCTCGGTATTTTAAAGCAATAATGCAACTTTAGGAGAGCATTTACAGTAGAGACTTGTGTAGCTAACAAAACTTCTCCACCACATGGCATGTATGAAACGTATCCGGGAATGTGCATCTGGCTTTTGAAGAACAGAACCCCTTGGTCTGTTTTTGAAGGGTCCACGTGGTCCCCAGGGGTTAAAATTCATGTGGGAGCAGAGGGTTGATTCAACACCTGGTCCTGGTCTACAGGCCTAGAGGTCTACTCCAGACTGGGGCTTGGGTTTGATCCTCCTCATTTTTTATTTTTTTTCTTTTTCTCCTTGGTCATTAAGAATTTGTGGATTTGTATGTGTGGATGTAGTTTTTTTTGGGGGTGAGCACCACTCTCCACTGCCCTCCACATGCATCCTTGTGGTGACACTTAGAGAAGGTGGCCTCACTTGCACCTGCCTGATGCTGCTGGTGCTGTATCTTGAGCAATTTTACTCATTTTGTTGTTGTTGCCCACCTTGCTTCTGCTTGCTAACGACCTTCCTGCAAGGCTCTGGCCTCTCACACAAGCAAACCTCCAGGGACCGGAGCCTGGCTGCAGAGCAGCAGTGGGTGGCTGGGTTTGATTTAGGCCCAGCCGGCGGGGTTCATCTTCTCATCTTCGTGACAAATTGTTTTTTGCCTCTCCGTCAGGCAGCCCAAACTCCCAGTCTCCTTGTCCCAGAGGCAAGAAAACAGCAAGCCTGTGTCTGTTCTCTCGCGATTGATAGCCCCGCCGGTAGGAGCATCGGCGCATGGGTGACGATGATCTACTGCTCAGCAGCTGCCCACTCTGAGCAGGCGGGCTTCCCCAGACCATCTCTCATAGCCACACGTGCACCGACTGTCACAAACTTACACTGCGAGGCGGGGGTACCGAGGAGGAGTGCATGTGTGTGTGGGGGGAGAACTTTTCTTTATTGTATTTGCTATAAAATGGGCTAAAAGTGTGTGTCTCTCTTTCTTTCTCCTTCCTTTCTCTCTTTCTTCTCCCTCGTTTTTTTGCAGAGGATGAAAGTCCTGGGCAGACCTATCACAGAGAGAGAAGGAACGCGATCACAATGCAGCCGCAGGGTGGGCAAGGCCTCGGCAAGATCAGTGAAGAGCCTTCCACGTCGAGCGAGGAAAGGGCCTCATTAATCAAGAAGGAGATCCATGGATCTATATCGCACCTTCCCGAACCTTCTGTACCTTACCGTGGGACGCTCTTTACCATGGACCCCCGAAATGGTTACATGGACCCTCATTACCGTGAGTATCGATCGCTGGTTTGTTTGGGGATGCAAAGTTGGTAGGCTGTCAAATTTAATGTAATTTTATTTGTCGCCTCACGGCGTCCCCAGGGAGAACTGCTTTGTCGGGGCAGGGTTAAGGTAAATACGATCTTTCTTTCTGAAGTTAAAAACCAGGGTGCAGTTGCACTGCAGTTTGAAATTATCACAGGCCTCTGCAAAGCAACTTCCACAGGACATCTCATCTGTTGCTAATCCTCCTCAGCCATCCAGGGTTGCATTTGCTCCACCTCCTTAATGCATGAAGAGAAAAAGCCTCATTAAAGAAGGCACAGAAGGAAAATGAAACAGGCCTTAAAATCCCTCTTTTAAAACAATGTTAAAGTATGGTATTAAGAGGAAGGACCGTGCCTCGTACAATGAGAATTTGGGGTGTGTGTGGGATTGAAAGATTTATTGCTGTGTTTTGGGGATTTTTGTTTTGGAGGGTTTTTTAGGGATTCATGTGTGTATTTGAGTATGCGGGCTGATGGAGTGGGTTTGCAATTTTCTTCCCCAGCTACAGTTGCCTGAATTAGGGGGGCGGGGGGGGAGGGAGGAAAAGGCAAATGGTTTCAACTTCTGAATTCCTGCTCAGGCATTAATAAAAAAGTAAGAAATTAACTGACACTTGAACACAGATGTGGAATAGATTTCTCCACAGGCAAAATATGAGGGAGTTAAGCAATTTTTTTCATCTGCTTCTAGTTTACAAAAAAAGAGAGGGGAAAAAAAAATCATTTAGTTGTGTAGTAATGAAGTACATCTTGAGGTGTCAAGGCTTGTGCCTTTTGATTATAGATTTATCACCCAGTCAGGATACAGATTTGCCATTTAACCTTCCAGTCTCTAGTTCCAGATGAGAGGCTTAAGACCCACAAAGAGGGGCCAGTCTGCGTTGGGTTTTTTTTTTTCCCCATCATTCAGAAATTTTAGTGTTTTAAGGCAAAAGGTCATTAGCCAGACGACTGATTAGTGAGGACAGCTGATTAGTGCATGTTTTTTTTCTAAAGAAAGTGCCAGGGATAAAAGCTAATTTTATCCCTTCATTAGTTGGGCTAGCAGCAAAGGGGAATGTTCACTCATCAGGGTGCAGATCAAAGTATGTCTCGCACAACCTTAAGTCTCACAACCCTCCTTTTTAAAAAAAAAAAAAAAAAGACCCTGATTGTTAATAAGGATGGAGGTATTATGAGAAAGTGAACACTTGTTGTCTTTATAGTTTATATCAGTATTTAGGGGAAAAGTTTGCAGTTAAGCTTTTGGGCTTTCTTCCAGTGTAGGCAGTCGGTTTCTCTACACCCTCCTCCTCCTCCTCTCTCGCACAGCTCTGCTCAAACCCTCTGGGAGAGTTACTCATCTTTCTGCTGAGGAGGATGTGCCGCAGCACACCAGCCGCAGACCCGCCTGCCAGAGCGGCGTCAATGTGCAGAGCAAACGGCCACTCACGAGCAGCAGTGCGTAGAAACACTAGCTCGTGGGTTGGAGACACCATTTGTAGCTTACGGTTTGTTAATGCGACCCCCAAATCTCACTTAAAAATAAATAAATCTTATTGGGGAAGCAAAATAGCTTCTCTATTTGTAGGCAGTACAACTGGGGAGAGACGAAATGTGTGGCAAAAAGAACCTCCCAAACAAACAACTAACCTTATGCTGAATTTAGTGGTGATGATTGCCATTTTGACCATCTAACCAGCTGCCAGCTCACCCCTTAAACCTAGTTCAATGTGTTATTGATGCTACTGAAGAACAAGGGCCAGCTGGTCAGAACGAGTCTGAGTGGTTTGCATTTATTTTTTTAATTTAATTTAATTTTATTTTATTTTATTGAATTCACCTTTTGCTGAGAGTTCTCAAGATTTAACAAAGCCACTATGTCTGTGTTGTGACCAATAATGCTAGCTAGTTAGGATGTGTGGGCTACTAGAAAAACATTGATGTCAGAAGTTGAGAGAACAGCAGCAGTTATTCAGCATGTAACAGTAGAGAAACAGGAGATGAGTTAATCTTAAATGAGCAACATGATCTTAAAGCAGAAGTCTAAGTCAGAAAACATCAGATGGGCAGACCTGCTTCACCGCTGCTCTAGCTAGTTGTACATTTGTACTCACTGATTTATAAAATCCCTCAAGCTATTAATGTCATATAAAAAGACGTCATGCTTTTATTTACCTTTAATAGATGTGATACAGAAGGACAACTAAAGAGAAAAATGTCTAGTTAGATTTATGGAAAAGCAGACAGGCTTACTGAAATTTTCATAGTAGTTGTATCACTTATATATGTAAGACATGCTTTCATCAAAGAGGTGACTGTATTCAGGCTGACACTTATAGTGGTCCATATGAAGAAGGCTGAATAACGTAAACATACCCTAGACCTGGTGTGACAACAGGTGAAGAACCAGCAAGGCTATCTTTCCCTCCTTTGGTTTCTTGCCAGTTTTGCTGGGCATATGGATAGAAAATACTGTTTTAATTCAACATAGTTGGATATGTAAACGCTCACAGTAATTCCTTAGTTTCCCTGTGGTTGGAAAATATAGACTTTTCAAGATGCCTAATTTGTGCTTCTATTTATACCCACTTTGTATTTAAAAGTGTGGGCAGGCTTCCTGTAACACAGGAAAAGGGAAAATAATTTTTTTGAAGGACATCTGTATATTTTTATGGCAAGAAAAGAAAAAGAGCATTTAAGTCAATTGTGTGTGGAAAGCATGTCCCCTCCAGGAGCTGCAGTTATTAGAAACAACTTGAATGCTTTGCATTTCTACATGTAAATATGCGTGTCTCTGTGTATGTGCGTTCCAGGATTTTTTTGTTGTTATAATTTTTTTCCTAATTAAAATGACTGATGTTGTAAATGTTGGAAATAATAGTTACCATATACGTGGAATAAATACCTCATTGAGGGGGAGTTTGCTCTCCTGCAGAGTGTGGGTGGGGATAATAGATGTGTTTCAAGTGGACCAGCTTTTCAAACAGCTGAGATGAAACATGCTATGGAGCTGGCGGCCCTTCTGCACAACCATAGAGCTCCTCAACCATTTAGCAACTGGGAACGAGAGAGCAGCCTCGTGCTCAGCTCACAGCCCTCTATCCTGCAGGAGATAAAAGGGAAAACATACAGGCCTAAACCAGAAATTTTTGTTTTCTTTTTTTTGTGTGTGTGTTAGGGATTTCTTATGCGCTGTTTAAACACTGCTTACAAAGTATGGGGGCTTTGCTTTTGTTTTTTAAAACTTTTAAAAAACTTTTTTCTCTTTAAAAGCTTTAGGGAAGATGACAAAAATGCTGGAGTTCTGCTTCTTGTGTTGTACCTTTTCTTTACTGAGGAGAGCAGGGTTACTGGGCTTAATCGGTGTTTCTTAAATGGATTTAAAACCCTGTCTTTCTCAAACACTGATTGCTTGGAGCCCCTTGTTAATGTAAATTCTGTCTCTAGAGGTGGGGCTGAGGCAGGGAAGGTGGGGATAGCAACTTCCCTTTGTTATTCTCTTCCCCAATTTTAATTCCCACGCAGATTTATGGCAGTGCTAAGACTGCCTGTCTCACAAGTCATTCCTCATGGAAAAAATGAATCATTCCTGATGTAAACACTTTGATTTAAAACATACTGCTGGTATTCTTCCCTGGGTTTCACAGCTCATTTGAAAGAATTGTTAGTACCTAATTAGTAAAGCCTGAAGAATTATCTTAAGTAAAAAAGCAGTGACAGTTCAGTTGGCTCTGATCTAAAACTTTGTATATACAGGAATGGCCCTGGCAGGATTCTTTCTGGTACATCCCTTCATCTCAAGAGAGGTTGTACTGTAGCTGAAAGCAGGAACTCACTCCTTCACTCTTTTTTTTTTTTTCCTTTTCTTTTTTTCCTCCTTACTGGGGATTTATTCTGATGGTTTTGAAGCTTCTGTATCTATCTGGGGAAGTGGGAACTGCTTATTGCACATTTCATAGGATTAACCCTCCAAAGGTATCGATTGCCCTCAGCTCCCACTGACTGTGCATGAATTTGTGCTTTGTAAGGATCGGTCCCTGCACAACTGCCCAGGTTAGATTACCCAGTGTTAGTGTCATCTCAAAATCAATTTGGAACATGAACAAAAGACCACAGCAAGAAAAATACAGTGCTGGTTCACTAGGTGCACTTGTTCATTTACTGTGTTTTAATTTCTTTTGACAAGAATTCCCCTTCCTTCATCTCCCCATAGAAAAGGAAAAGGGGGGGGGAGAAGGAAATTAGATTCTGTTTCTGCAAATGCAAGCTGGTAACTGGAAACATTGCCTTGAAATGCAGTAATTAGAAAGCAATGGCTTTTCAAGACAACACGGCTTGAACCACCATGGCGAGCTGTGGGCAGCGCTTAGGACAGCAAGAGCAGTCCAGGTCACCATGTGCAATTAAGCTCATGGAAGGGGGTTTCCATTTGCTTTGTAGAGAGGGGAACCAGTGACCTCCCTTGTCCTCTTCATGGCACATGTTGGGACTCTGGAGGGACAACCGAGATGCTTTTGGATAGCCCCAAAGCGGGCACTTTTCTTAGCTCATCTCTAGCTTCCCACTGTTACCAGGTGGCAGGAACCCAGGACAGGTTTTTACAGAGGGTTTCCCTGCAGCCTTGTTGGACAGTGGTAGGAGAGTGTCAGTGAGGAATCCTTGTAGAGATTTAGGGCTGGGGTCTTTACAGACATTTAGGGGCTCTTTAATTTCAGAGTGAGTTTTGCCTCTTAAATACCTCTGAAAATCTGGGTCCTACTTCAGCTCTTTCCACAGCATTTTGCAGGGGAGGGGCTTAAGCGCTTTAGTAAGAAAACTCTCCACTGACAGTGATTTATGGGGTGGTTTCCAAATGTTGTCAGGGAGGAGTAGTTGAAAAAAGTAAAATCTAAAGCTTTTAATAAAACTCACAGGAAAAAAAGCCTCTAGTACAAAAGTGAATATCAGTTTACTGGTGTCAGCTGAGCAACTGAAATGTTGGTCTTTAAGAAAATTCGC